GCCTGATGCGGGACTCAATCCTAGGTCTCCAGGATCACGTCCTGGGCCAAAGGCAGGCGCTAAACCGCTGAGCCACCCAGGGATCTGAGCCCTCTAGTTCCATCCACGTAGTTGCAAATGTTAAGATTTCATTCACGGTTTCCATATATGTTACATGGAATATATATATATATATATTCCACATATACATGTATATATATATATGTAACATCTTCTTTATCCATTCATCTGTCGATGGACATCTGGGCTCTTTCCATATTTTGGCTATTGTGGACATCGCTGTTATAAACATTGGGGTGCAAGTGCCCCTTTGGATCACTATGAGGGTATTATGCTAAATGAAATAAGCCAATCAGAGAAAGACAAATATATGACTTCACTCATATGTAGAATTTAAGAAACAAAACAGAAAGGAAGGGAGGGAAGGGAGGGAAAAATAAAATATGATGAAATCAGAGAGGGAGACAAACCATAAAAGGCTCTTAACTATAGGAAACAAACTGAGGGTAACTGGAGGGAAGATGGATGGCGGGATGGGGTAACTGTGTGATGGGCATTAAGGAGGGCATGTGATGTGATGAGCACTGGGTATTATACGCAATTGATGAATCACTAAATGCTGTCTGTGAAACTAAAAATACACTAAATGTTCATTGATTTTAAATAAAATTAAAATTTAAAAAAAGAAGGGGAGCCCTGCAGGGAAGGGCTCAGGGCTGGCTTCACAGAGGAGGAAAGGTTAGCAAGCTGTGGCAGAGCTTAGTGACTCCCTGCAGTCCACTGAACTCCATCCAGAACTCCGGCCTAGAGCCTTCCCAACCTGTGCACCTAGGAGGCTACAGGCTGACCTTGAATCCCCTCAAGCTATACCTGGGTTGCTGGGCCCTTGCTTACCTGCAGTAGGGTAAGCAGGTGGGCACCGGTTTGTCACTTCTGCTCTCTGTGCTCTCCCTGGGGTCCCAGCATTCATCAGTTCGGCTGGTGTTGGAAATAGGATTAGCCAAGGAAATCCTAGGTAACAAATGTCAGCCCAGGTGGAGGGCAGTTGGGCTTCTTGGGACTTTTCCTGGCTTCCAGCCTATAATCTCTGTTCTTTCCTGCTTGTCTTTCTTCATTTAGGGGACCTTCCCTCCTTACCCCAACCCTTCTCTATGTCAGCCAAGCTCTTTTTAATTTTTATACTTGTTTGAAACTATTTGAGTATCTTTTTTTAAAAAGATTTTATTTATTTATTTATTTATTTATTTATTTATTTATTTATTTATGGTAGAGAGAGAGAGAGAGAGAGAGAGAGAGAGAGGCAGAGACACAGGAGGAGGGAGAAGCAGGCTCCATGCCGGGAGCCCGATATGGGACTTGATCCCGGGACTCCAGGATCGCGCCCTGGGCCAAAGGCAGGAGCTAAACCACTGAGCCACCCAGGGATCCCCCCATTTGAGTATTTTAATGGCTTTTGTTTCAAAGGGCAGGTCTCTAATACCTGCAGGTGGTCAGTGGGGGCTGCCCACCAGTGCTGTGGAGGTGAGGGGATCCCCTGAGTTGAGAATGCAGGTCCAGTCCAGAGGGGTTAAGAGCTTGATCTTTGAGGGAAGCCACACTGCGTTATTTGAAATCCTGGCTCAGCTATGGCTCAGCCCTCTGACTTGTGGCAAGTTACTTAATTCTCTTTGGGTCGCTGCCTGTAAAATGGGGATGACAATAACAGGGCCTTCCATAGAGGATTGTTGTGGGACTAAGATAATATATGTTTAAAAAGCACTCAGTAGAAATAAATAAATAAATAAATAAATAAATAAATAAATAAATAGCACTTCGTACTAGGCCTGGCCTATAATAAGCACTCATCAGAAGTCAGTACAAATATTATTCAGATGATGGTTGCTATTATTACTAAGCTGCATCCTGCTCATGGAGGATTGTGAGTTCTCACTAAGGGGAAGAAAAGGGGTTGCAAACACTTTAAGCTTGTTTTTTTTAAGATTTTATTTATTTACTCATGAGAGACACACACAGAGAGAGAGAGAGGCAGAGACACAGGCAGAGGGAGAAGCAGGCTCCATGCAGGGAGCCTGATGTGGGACTCGATCCTGGGACTTCAGGATCACGCCCTGAACAGAAGGCAAATGCTCAACCACTGAGCCACCCAGGCATCCCTAAGTATGTTTATCACCTGACTGGCACCCTTCCTTCAGCTCCTACACTGCCCCAGGCAGACTGTCCCCTCTGTGAGGCTGCCCTGGGGATCAGTGGGAAGGGAAGGATTCCTTGGGGAACTCATGTCTATCCTTCATGAGGGGGGCTCTGGGCTTGCCCATCCCTTTCCTCCTGATCATGTGTTATGTGCTCCATGGAGACAACATCGGGGAGAGGAAACCTGTTAATGGTCATACTCAGACTGAGGTTACCCTCAAGATAACCAGGCATGGTGTTTCTTGAGGCCGACTCTTCACCAGGTTCCACCTCGCTGAGTCCTCTGAGGCAGGTAGAGGACTGAGGTTCAGAGCCTTTCCTGAGGTTTTTATGAAAGAGAAAAATACCAGGGACACCTGGGTGGCTCGGTCAGTTAAGCATCTGCCTTTGGCTCGGGTTATGATCTCAGAGTCCTGGGATGGAGTCCTGCATTGGGCTCCCTGCTCAGTGGGGAGTCTGCTTCTCCCTCTCCCTTTCCCTCTGCCTCTTCTCCTTACCGTGCTCTCTCTTTCAAATAAATAAAGAAAATTTGTTAAAATATATAAAAAAAGGAAGAGGCAAATATTGGATGCGTTTACATCCAAAGCTTGTGCTCTTTACCACTACACTACTGTGTCCTATACTCAAGGCCAGCTTCATGGACTTGGGACCTATGCACCCTGCCCCCCCTCCCCGCATAGAAGGGCCCCAAGCTCAGTTTAATGCTCTGCTGTCACCATCTTCAAATCTCAATAGTTTTGAATAAGCAGCCCCATATTTCCCTTTTGCACTGGGCCATGAAAATTATGTAGCTGGTCCTGCCTACCTTCTTTTGTAGAAAGGATGTCTTCTTTGCAAAGAAAAGGAAACTGAGGTACCATGACTGGTACAAAGTCATAAAGCAAGTGGGTAGCAGAACTAGACTTGGGTCTCCTGACTCCCTGTCTGGGGGAATTCTCTGGAAACACTCATATGCCCCAAGGTGCCATGGATAGGAGACATTTCATAAGGGGACACTGGCTGGGGGAAGGCTAGATAGAAGAGGGCTTCCACTCACCAAATCACCTATTCTACCTGGCCCTTCTGGGACTAAAATGTCCACCTGCTATCTCCTGACACTCCCACCTTTGGCCCTAGGGGCCAGGCTTTTCTGAAGGGCTGGGCAAAACCATGAGCAGGGCAATGACTCCATTCTTTCTAGAGTGACATTGAGGGGCTAAGGGACATGAATTAGGGTGGGAGCAGAGGTGGCCATAGAATGTAACACAGGAATCAGAGTCTCTGTTTTTTTTTTTTTTTTTAGATTTTATTTATTTATGAGAGATACAGAGAGAGAGGAAGAGACACAGGCAAAGGGAGAAGCAGGCTCCTCACTGGAAGCCTGATGCAGGAATCGATCCCAGGACCCCGGGATCATGACCTCAACCAAAGGCAGACACTCAACCACTGAGCTACCCAGGTGTCCCAGATTTCCTGGGTTTTGACTCTCTCTGCCTCTCACTCTGACATCCAGTGAGACTGACATCCTGTGACTTGAGCTGGATGGGTGGACTTGGGTGCTCAGACATCTGTGGCCTATGCTCTGTGCAGAATCCTCCTGGAGGCGTGTATTTTTGTGTGATCATGTGTGCATATGTGTGTATTGTGGGGTGATGGGAAAGAGATTGAGAGGAGAAAACATCCAGTTCTATCTGCTTTCATTCACTTTTTCCACTTTTTATTTTCATAGATATTGCAGATTTGGGGAACAGAGCCCTAGGAATACAAATATCCTTAAGGATGCTTACAGTCTAGTGAGCAAGACTGACAATAAAACAAATAATCACACAGATACATATATATTTGTTTCCTAGTGCCCTGTTCTCTTTCACCATGGAGCAATTAACAGTTTGAAATAATGGGATTGTTGGTATGGTCTTTTTTTTTTTTTTTTGGTATGGTCTTTGGGGAGATGAATGTTAACCCCATGGCCATCCCAGCTGATGCCAGAGCAAGCCTTTCCATTTTGAGGCATTTGGACTATGGCTGAGAATGAGATTGACCTTGGTACTCCAAATAACTCACTTGTGGATGCCTGAAATTCCATTGAGGGTCTTCCTCTAGGACTAGTATTATTCTATTTCTGAGACTATTACAAATTCAAATCCCCAGGAATGGGTGGGTGGGGTGGGTTCTCTGAGTTCACAACATGGCAGCTCTGTGTCATGAAACACAAGGGCCCTTAATACCAAGAGATGCCCCTGATGGGTACCACAAGGGGAGCCAGAGGGCCACAAGACAATCTCCATCACCCTCTGCTGCTGACTCAGTCCAGCTCTGCCTTCAGAAGTAGGAGCCAAAGGCAAGGGAGAGGGAGAGTAAGGCCCAGTAAAAGCCCAAATCCAGATCTCAGCCAGCCTCACTCAAGTAGCTGAAAAAGCAAGAAGCTCCAGGTCCCTTTTACCTGCAGGGCCCTTCTGTATGGTCCCACTGGGAGAGTCATGCTTTCCTCAAGGACAGCTCTGTGGTTGTCCACAGGCCTGGACAAGAACTTTCCAGGTTCTTGAAACACACTCAACTACCATTGTGACCCTTCTGTGCACCTACCAGCACTCCCGCCCAGAGGCCAAATTTGGCAGTGTATTTGGGGGCTGCAGGTGTAGAAGGTTCAACCTGGTCACCCGAGAGAGGCCCCCCAGTGAGGCAGGGCGGGTTCCCCCTGGCGGCTGGAGCACTGCCCCGGGCGTGGCCGGGCTGCCCCGTCTGGTCCCCTAGTACAAGAATCTGCATGCTTCCTCCCCTCGTCGTTTCCTTCCTCTCGGTTCCTCCCTCGCCAGCCTACCTGGAGGCAGGTAATAAAGCAGGAGGAGGGAGATGGATGGATGGGGAGGGTGGAGAGCCACGTGGTGCCATAAAGCCCAGCTAGAGAGGGCCCGTCCGGGGAGTGTCCAGCCCGCAGGAGTCGAGGCTCAGGAGGTGGCCTGGCAGCCCAGTGGGCTGGAGCCGGGGGCAGCGAGGCCCGGGGAAGGCCATGCACCGAGGCGTGCCGGGACCAGGCCTCAGGGGCCTCCAGGGGGCTGAGGGCTCCTCCGAGGACTCGGGGGGCTCTTGCCTGGAGGCCGGGAGGCATTTGGGGGTGCTGAGGGAGAAGGGCGAGGCCGAGGAGGCGGCGGGCGGCCGGAAGCGCGCTCGGCCGGTGCGCTCCAAGGCGCGGCGCATGGCGGCCAACGTGCGGGAGCGCAAGCGCATCCTGGACTACAACGAGGCGTTCAACGCGCTGCGCCGGGCGCTGCGGCACGACCTGGGCGGCAAGAGGCTCTCCAAGATCGCCACGCTGCGCAGGGCCATCCACCGCATCGCGGCGCTCTCCCTGGTGCTGCGCGCCAGCCCCGCGCCCCGCTGGCCCTGCGGGCACCTGGAGTGCCACGGGCAGGCCGCGCGCGCCGCCGCGGGGGGCAGCGGGGATGCGGGCTCCAGCCCCCCGCCGCCCGCGCCGCCGCCCGTCGGCCCCTTCGCGCCGCGCTGCGCCTCGTGCTCCCCGCGCTCGCCCCCCGGACGGCCCCGGGCGGCGGCCGAGGCTCAGGGCGCGGCCCAGGCGTCCACGGGAAGCTGGCGCCGGGTCCCAGCGGCTCCCTCGGCCTGGCCGCGGGCCCACCTGCGAGCGGGCCCCGGGCTGGGCTCCCAGCACTCCTGACTGGCTCCCGGGAGCTACCCGTGGGCCTGGAGGGAGGAGCCAGTGGCAGGACGGCTGCAAAAGGGTAGACTGCCCCAAACCGCCGGGACCCAGAACAACTGAGTGGCTGAGGCCTGCGAGAGAGAGGAGGCAGCCTGGCCAATGGGAAGGAACTCGAGCCCGGGGCCGCACTGCCCGGCACCCCTCTCGCCGCCCGGATCCCAAGCAGGGGTGGCGGCTCTAAGAAAGGTGCAGGATCCTCCCGTTTGGACTTGAACTCTTCTCTCAAAGTGATCTTTGCAGTCCTGTGCCTCTGAGTCCTGTGTTCTCTTGCTGCTTTATAGGAGAAAGGGGGCTTTTGGACAGGGGGACTTGAATGTGGGAGGGCGGGTGACCCCTGGTGTGGTCGGATGACACTGTGGTGTCCACATCCCCTGCCTGTGCTGATACCCCAAGTCTATGATCTGAGAGAGCCAACAGAAGGAGCCAAATAAAAAGGAAAAAGTTGCCATCTCTGTCTGCTATAAGGTGTCCACTGGGCTTAGTGGCCCAGGGTGGCAGGAAAGCCTGAGGACTGGGAGCTCACTGCGGAATGTGGGGACCCGGGCCTGATGCCTGGAGGTAGGTACCTGGGGCATTGATTCCTGGCAAGCCCCCAGGTGTGGCTGAGCACTGTGAGGGGCACTGTGGGAGAGGACATTATTTGAAGAGGGGGAGCAGCACCAAGAGACTCAAGCTGGGGTCAGCCTCACCTCTGGACGGGATACCCTGCAGAGCCGCTGTCTGCAGTGACCCACTGCCAGGGCTGCATCAGAAGCAAAGTCTGGGCTAGTCCCAGGAAAGGAATCCTACAGCAGACCACGGACTGGGGGGTCAGTAAGTCCTGCCTGTACCCTCAGCGTGGGTGCATGGAGCTCCCAGGGAGAAATGGTCTGGTGCAGCCAGAGCCTCTCTGATGAGGGGCAGAGGTGGAATCGAAAGATTACAGGGAAGAGGTTAAGGGAATTAGGGCCTGAGGCTGAGTCTGCTGAGAAAGTGGGAGGCATGACTGGCCCTCCCAGAGAGGTCTGGAGAGCTTTGGGATCTAAGGTGAGCACTCCCGACCTAGTGTCTGGCCTCACTCCTGCTGACTAGGCTGCTGCTGCAGTTGCTGCTGGCGGGGGTGAGAACCCAGGTGTGCCAGGGGAGAGGGTGGGGGCTCTCTGGTCTCCTTGGAGAGCTGGACACTCTCCAGCTGGGGGAAGAAAAGTTACACAACTCAGAATTGGGGGAGCATCACGGATGAAGTTGGAGCTATAGACCCAGAGATGAGTGAGAGATCCCCCAGATAGTCAAGGTGAGGCTCACTGCTGTGATTAAAGATATCTTTGCTTTCTGCAAGCAAGACACTGGCTGGCACACTCAGCACCCTGTCCTGAGCCCACAGGTATTAGGACTCCCAATTTTACAGGGCAGGTGGCTGCAGCACAGATCACAAAAAGGCTTTGACTCTGGGCAGAGGAATCATGGGGTCCAATCAGGAACAAAATGTGGGAATCTGGCCCCAGGCTTGCCCACTGAGCCTTCCATCTGTGGAGAGGTGGTGCCACTGTCTGATAGTAGAAAGGAAAGAGCCAGACCAACGTGTGTTCTGCCACTTACTATGTGTGTGACCCATGGCATCACTTAACCTCTCTAAACCTCTAGTTCCTCACCACTGACACAGATGATTCCACCTCAGGGTGGCTGTGAGGGTTAACACTGGTTCATTATGTGCAGTTTCTGGCAATTAGAAGGTGTTCCATAAATTGTTACTGTTTGTATATTCTTATAAATCTTATGATAAGTTTGGACGATGCTTCTGCCTTGCTTCGGCTTCAGGTTTTTATGCCCTGGAAACATAATAAAATGACCAGTAAGTCCTGCTTTCCTAAGTTCCAGGATAGAAAGAGGTGAGAGTTCTGGCTCAGTTGCACTCTCAGCTCAGGAATGGTGAGGGTGCCCCCTGCAGGTGGAAGTGTGAGTGTGCAGCAGATGTGTGAAGTCGGGAGGATGTGAAAGTACTTCGCAGTGTCTTCATTTTCCAGCCGAGTGACCTTGGGCAAATTGCCTAAGGGCTTTGAGCCCTGGTGTTTCCTTCTGTATAATGGGCTAAAATAAGTACTTACATCATAGCTGTTGTGCAGACTAAATGAGATAATGCATTTCAAGCACTTAGCATAGTGTCCGGCCCTGTGAGCGCTCAATGAGTGAAAGCTATTAAGACAAATTCTATTCACAAGTTGTTATAAAAAGAGAATGCGTGGGAAGCTGTTTTATAAATGAAAGCTGACAACACATTAGCTATTGTCTTATCAAGACCATGTGTTCGAGTGCATTTGTGTGTGTGTGTGTATATATATATATATATATATATACATATATATTGTTAAGATTTTATTTATTTATTCATGAGAGACAAGGAGACAGGCAGAGAAAACAGGCTCCTCATGGGGAGCCTGATGTGGGACTCGATCTCACCACCCCAGGATCACTTCCTGAGCCAAAGGCAGGTGCTCAAACACTGAGCCACCTAGGCTCCCCCATACTTGTGTATATTTGTGTGCTGTTAGGTGTTTGCCTAGTATTCAAAGACATTTTTTTGTCGCAAAGGTTCTCTGATACCCACACATCACATGAGTGCTTATATAGACATGTGGACCTGTGAATATTTGTGTGTGTATATGTGTATGTATTGACCTAACAGGTACTCCCTACCTCTCCCTGATGCATTAGGGTCTCCTGGGCTCGAATACCTTTAATTATGTGCCCTCCACATTTTCTGGAACCCTTGTTTGATTTTTTTAATCTGGATCCCCAAACCATATCCATCCAAGATGACTGGCTTACTGTGAGAGAAGCTAAATTTGTGATTATTAAAGAAATGGACATTATCAACGGATACCAGATAGGTTTGTCCAAATACAGAGAAAAATGGTTTGACAATAGGTATGAAGCAAATCTAAAGAGGAAAGTGCTAGAAAGAGAAAACATGTAGGAGAGCTGCTAAAAGTTATGGCTAAAAGATACGAAGTGTTGGGGCGCCTGGGTGACTCAGTCGGCTGAGCATCTGACTCTTGATTTTGGTCAGGTAACCATCTTGGGGTCGTGGGATGCAGCTCTGAGTTCAGCAGGGAATCTGCTGGAGATTCTCTCTGCTTCTCCCACTGCCTCTCCCCCAGGTCATGCTCTCTCTCAAATAAATAAATAAATAAATAAATAAATAAATCTTAAACTTTTTTTAAAAAAAGATTTTATTTATTTATTAATGAGAAACACACAGAGAGAGAGGCAGAGACATAGGCAGAGGCAGAAGTAGGCTCCCTGCAAGGAGCCTGATGTGGGGACTTGATCGGGGATCCCAGGATCACGCCCTGAGCCTGAGGCAGACGCTCAACTGCTGAGCCACTCAGGTGTCCCTAAATAAGTCTAAAGAGAGAGAGAGAGAGAGAGAGAGAGAGAGAGAGAGAGAGAGAGAGATGGAGGACTGGTATATCTAAAGACAGAAATCCTCTAAGGTTGATCGCAACCGTGCACTGGAATAGTGCAGGAAAGAGGGGGCACAGAGAAGAATGGCAGACCCTGGTAGCAGCTTCACAGCTCACGAAGGGCTGATACATGCAGTCTTTTGGCTCCTCTTAGGAAGTCGAACCTTCCAACCCCTCCCCTGTGTTCATTGCCTCCATCACAGGGACCAGCACCTTGTCTGTCTAGCAATGAGAGAGACACACTGGCAGAGATAGATAACAAATGTGAGACCGATGTTGTCAGGGATGGTGAGGAAAGGGCACATTTCCAGATTTCTAGTTGTCCTGTGGATCTGTTCCTTTTCTGGTATAAAACAATTTGGCCAAATTGCAATTAAAGTACTCCAAGAGAGTAATCCGAAAAGGAAAAGCAGATTTGCAAAGAAGGTGGTCCCAGAGGCACTGGCCCAGTGAAAGATTTGAAAGAATACCAAGGCCCAATCCTAGAGACATGGTGAAGAGCAAAGGCTGGTGTTCTAACAGAGGGAAAATCGTGAGTTAGAGGAGCAGATCACACAATGGTCTGTGCCCACTGATTATAACCATAGACAAACATGTAGGTACATGAACGATACCCTAAGAGAATTTGGAGAGATGCAAACAGTTAATATCTATTAGGTTCTTCACAATTGCTTTTTAAAGGTGCAAGATTTGTTTCCTTAGAGAGCCTTCCAAAGAGGGGTAGGGAAATGTTTTGAGCAAGGAGAGCAAGGACAAAGTATCCCGAGTGGATCCTTTGCAGGGAGTCCACTTCACTGGATGTGAAACCTGGATGCTTGCTGATAGGAGTGGGATTACATCAAGTTTTTCTTACATTGTGTGTGTGTGTACATGCATGCTCACACGTACCACAGATACCAGAAGGCTGCAGTTGTCCCTGGTGCAGGGTGAGCTAAGCCCAGGAGGGCCTCAGTGAGAAGAGGAATTGACTTCATTATTCCTGCCCCGTCAGCCCCAGAGGGTTTCCTGACACCTGTGCGGCATGGATCTGAGAGAGTTCAATTACCTCTACCCTTGGATTGGGGTCCAACTCCCCCATCCTTCTGAGGTTTACTCCCCTGCCCATCCTACCCCCAAAGGACATCCCCACAGTATGCAGGTCCCTTTCCCCTTCACTGCTAACATCTCGCCATCTTCCTTGTTCCGAGTGCACTAAGGCTGGGGCCAGGCAGAGAGGTAGGAATTAGCGTCCATGTGGACACACCCTGGGCACTTGGTTGGTGTCTTCAGCCAGCCAGACTTTCACTGGGCCAGGGTCTGGGCAAGGAAGGGGCAGGGCATACCTGGGAATACCTTTCTTCAGCAGCCAGTGGAACAGACAGGCCAATCCGTCTGTCTAGCTGCAGGGGCTCACAGCTCCAATCCCCCGGGGGAAGACCAGCCTCCTGAAGGTGGAGCTGCAGGGGCTCCTTGCCTGCAGCTAGCCCAGCCCCTTGCTGTTTTGCAGAAAACGGGCCCAGAGTTCCCAGATCTTCATGTTAAAAGTCTGGTGCTCCATTTCTATGTGAAATGGATTTTTTAAAAAGCACATATTGAGTTAACACTGTGCAGCCCAAACCCACTCTGTATGCTAAGTATGACCCATGGGCCTCCGTTTAAGACCCTACTTGGGGGATGCTTGGGGGGCTCAGTGGTTGAGCATGTGCCTTGGGCTCAGGTTGTGATCCCAGGGTCCGGGGATCAAGTGTCGCATTGGGCTCCTTGTGAAGAGCCTGGAGCCTGCTTCTCCCTCTGCCTATGTCTCCGCCTCTGTGAATCTCATAAATAAATACATAAGATGTTAAGAGAGAGAGAGAGAGAGAGAGAGAGAGAGAGAGAGAGAGAGAGCCTAGTTGGGAGTGGGGGAAGTGCGGAGGCGGCACCTCACACTGGAGTGGGGGCAGCTGGCTGCACCGGATTACCCGCCCTGGAGGGAGCCCCGACCTGAGGCTCCTCCCTGCTCCTCCCCTTCCACGGGCCACAGCCCTACCTTTGGTCTTTCCCCTCATCACTACGAGGCCACTAGATGGCACTGTGAGCCCAGCATCGCCCTGTGGCCTAGTCATCCCAGGGTGGGGAGGAGTTGGGGGGCAAGACCAGGAAGCCAGCCTGGCAGCCCCACAGCCACGAGTCACCCTGGGGGCTTCTTGGCTTTTTCTTTTTTCTTAGAGTTTTAAGTAAGTCAAAAAGACCCCTTTTTAAATTTTTTATTTTATTTTTAATTTTTTAATTTATTTATGATAGTCACACACAGAGAGAGAGAGAGAGAAAGGCAGAGACACAGGCAGAGGGGGAAGCAGGCTCCATGCACCGGGAGCCTGACGTGGGACTTGATCCCGGGACTCCAGAATCATGCCTGGGCTGAAGATGGTGCTAAACCACTGAGCCGCCCAGGCTGCCTACATTCTTTTTTTTTTTAAAAGGTTATTTATTTATTTGAGAGAGAGAGAACACAGGGGGAGAGGCCGAGGGAGAGAATCCTCAAGCAGACTCCCTGCTGAGGATGGAGCCCAACGTGGGGCTCAATCCTAGGACCTTGAGATCATGACCCCAGCCAAGATCAGACGATTAACCAACTGAGCCACCCAGGCGCCCCTTACATTTCTTTTTGTACTAATTATTCGAAAGTGTGTTTTATAGTTAAGCACATTTCACTTTATTTTATTTTTTTAAAGATTTTTATTTATTTATTTATTTATTCATGAGAGAAACACAGAGAGCTAGAGACATAAGCAGAGGGAGAAGCAGGCTCCCTACAGGGAGCCTGATGCAGGACTTGATCCCAGGACCCCAGGATCACGACCTGAGCCAAAGACAGATAGATGCTCAACCACTGAGCCACCAGGTGCCCCAGCACATTTCACTTTAGCTATGTTTCAGGTGCTCAATAGCCATGCTGGGCTAGAGGCTATGGAATCTTTGGGCCGGGCAGCTATAGCCACGCCCCCACCCCCCGCCGCCGCCCAGGGGCCCAGGGTCAGCTTCCACATGTAATACGGAAGTGCCTAAGTCGGACACTGACTTAGAGTCTAGGGGTCTTAGGGACCCAACTTCCCACCCTCTGCCGGAGACCTCCTGTTTAAAAAGGCATTAGCACATTCTCGGAAGTTCCTGGGCCAGGCAGCCCAGCTTATTCTCTTGCCCCACCCCTGGCCTGAGGGTGAAAGAGCTTCCTTAAGAACAGAGATAAGGAGGAAGTCTCTATCCCCCACCCTACCTGCTCTTCCCCACAGAGAGCAACAATCTCATTGCTTGCCCTGGAGGCCAGCCTTTTGCAAACAATAATGGGTTTCCTTTATGGAGCAAAAATTCTTAATTTAGTATAGTCAGATTCACCAAACTTGAAAATTTATGCCAAAGTTACACACTAGGGCAGCCCCGGTGGTGCAGCGGTTTAGCACCGCCTTCAGCCCAGGGCGTGATCCTGGAGACCCTGGATCAAGTCCCACGTCAGGCTCCCTGCATGGAGCCTGCTTCTCCCTCTGCCTATGTCTCTGCCTCTCATTCTCTCTCTGTGTTTCTATGAATAAATAAATAAAATCTTTTAAAAAAATAAAATTACACACTATTTTCAAAACTTATTAGTCTCCAGGTGCCTTTTCAGCTCCCCAGACTTCCCTTGAGCCCCTAGCATGTGGCTCTTTCCTCCCTCCACTCTGTTATCTGGTCACATTACCACCCCCCCAACCCCCCACCCCCATCCCTTGTCACAGCCCTTGCTGGAAGCAGCATTTTTTTAAAAAAAGATTTTATTTATTTATTCATGAGAGACATAGAGAGAGAGGCAGAGACTTAGGGAGGGAGAAGCAGGCTCCCGGGACTTGATCCCAGGGACCCCAGGATCATGACCTGAGCCAGAGGAAGACTCTCAACCACTGAACCACCCAGGTGCCCCTGGAAGCAGCATTTTTGAGGCCAGCTTGACACACAAACCAAAGCTACTTCTTTTCACTACAGTGGCTCATCTTGTGCCAAGCTGCGCCCCAGGCCCGGACAAGGGAGTGATGTCTGGTTGAGAAGAGTGTCCCTCCATTTCCGGCCTCAGTTTTCTCATCGGGACTATCAGACGATCTGAATCCCACAACCTCTGAGGTCCATCCCACCTCTACCTTCCCATCCCTGTCCTGTATGACCCTAGGTAGGGCTTTAGATTCTTTCTTGTACCCCCACCCATCACCCACTCTGAGACACACACACACACACACACACACACACACACACACACACAGAGTGATTCCAGGTGGTGCTTATGAAACAATGCAAGGACAGAGATACTGGGGACACAAAAGAGATGAGGAGCATGGAGGAGGAGGCTGAAACAAGGGGAAGACAAGGGAGGGAATGACAGGAGACCACAAGAATCAGAGAGGACAGGCTCACCCGGTGAGGGCTCACCAGGATGGAAGCCCTTCAGAACTGGCATCTGCCCCCAGGGAGCTCGTGAACAGAAGTGTCTTTGCTGCTCTTTGAAAGCACCCCAGAAAGGCCCTGATGGGCATGAGTTGGAACCCTCATAGAACCTTCCTCCCTAACACCCCCCCCACCCTGAGGAGCTCAGAACCCCATTGAGGCAGGATCCTCAGGCGATGCTTAGTCCACCCTCCCCTCCTGGAGCTGGGAGCCAGGCTGTGGCCTGGACACCTCAGGGGGATGGAGGTGAGGGTGGAGGTGGGCTGCCTAGGTCCATAGGTCTGGGGCTCAGTGTTTCCTGACAGAGGGGAAGGAGTGTAAGCCTACTCCAGCAGAAGAGAAGCGGAGGGCTCCATTTCCCAGAACAGTTGAAGACACCTCCACACTCTGTGACCCACTTTGTCTTTTTCCCCTATCTGGAGCCCCCAGCCCATTGAGGCAGGTTCTGTGGCTGCAGTGGAAGCCAGAGGCCCACCCCAGTCTCTCTGGGCTGCACTGGGCTGCACTGGGGCAGAGGCAGTACACCGCTTGGCAGTTCTCAGGGGAGAGGGGAATTAAAAAGGAAAAGCATCTCTGAAGGGGAGGGAGGGAGCTGTGTGTACACACATACTCGCTCCCTCCCTCCCCGACTTAGCCTGAGCCTCACCCAGGAGAGGAGCGTCTTCTCTCTGCTCTTGGAGCTGCCTCTGTTACTTCCCCGCCCATCTGTGCTGTTAGCAGCACCAGCAAAGTTGGCCTCCAACTTGAACAGAGCCCAGGGCTCCAGCTTCCCGAAGCTCCTCGGGGGCATCAGACAGGCCTCAGCCTCTGAACTCGGGCTGCCTGGAGAAGCCGACCCTGCCATCTAGCCCTGGCTTCCCTGGGTGACACTTCTGCCCCTGACCTGTAGGCCCCTGGATCTGGGCTGAGGAATGGTGTGCTGAGGTCCCTCTGGAGCCGATCGTCTCAGCCTGAAGCCCCAAGCCAACATGGCCAACCCTGTGCAGCCTCAGTTTCCCTTGGCTCAGGAGCCCGGCACTGCCTTACCCCTGGACCTGCCAGAGATGGAGAAACTCCTCACGATGGTGGAAGGCAAGGATGACAAGCCACTGAAGCTGTCCAAGTCCCTCTCCGGGGCCCTGGACCTGGAACAGAATGGTCATGGCCTGCCCTTCAAGGTGGCTTTTGAGGGGCGACAGGAAGCCACACTGCCATGGTCTCCCTCTCGGGCCAGCTCTAGGAGGGCATCCTCCGTTGCCACTGCCTCCTCTGCCCAGGACCGAGAAGTCCCCAAAGATTACCTCATCCTTGCCATCGCCTCCTGCTTCTGTCCTGTCTGGCCGCTCAACCTCATCCCCCTCATATTTTCTATCATGGTAAGTGCTGCTCTTTGCTCCAGGGCAGAGGCTGGGCCCTGGGCTCAGGAGGCATGTTCTCCTGGAAGGCACCACTCTGCCTAGGGTGCAAAGGAGGGAGAGCTGGGGGCTGGGGGCTGGGAGGAAAATTCCCTTTCTCACCTGGCCTACTACCCGCCCCCCAACAGAAGAGGGGGCCAGGGACCGAAGACCTTCTGTTTGCTGCCCTCTCTCATCTCGGCTCTTTGTCATTACAGCTTGACTTTGCACACATCCCTGCTAGGGAAGGGACCCCAGGGAGCCACACGGAGCTCAACTCCACATTGCAGAGAGGCAGCCAAGTTGAAGTTGGGAGGGCTTGCCTTTTGTTGGGGGGGGGGTGTCCCAAGGAGTCACCCTGAGTGGGGCCGTGGCTGTGTGTTAGTAGAGGTTGTGGCCAGTGTGGGCTCTCAGGACCCTGAGTTCTCAGGAGGGGAGCCAGCTGCCCCTACCCTTCACCCCAGGCCACCTGGGTGTTCTAATGGCCTTTGCCAACTCTGGTTTCCAAGAGCCGGTGTGGCTTCCTTGACGCGCACTGAGGGCCCTGGGGCCTGACTCCCCCGAGGCTGCTCCTTTGGGGAGGGGGGCTGTTTTTGCTGGAGCCCCTGGGCCTCAGTGCTGACACTGATTTCAGCATCTGTCTTTAGTCTGTCTTTAGGTTAGGGGAGGTCTGGGCCGTGGATGAAAAGTGTGTGTCAGAGGGCATGGCTGGCCTTGCCAAGGAGGAGCATGTGGGCTAGTCTTCGCTTCTCACACACTTGTCCTTAGGGTTCTGAGTAAACTTAGGTTGTCCCCAAACCAAGCCATTTGATTAGAGCTACTTACAGAAGATCCACAGCAAACATTGGTAGATGTTGGCAAGTGACTTTTGAGGTCCAGGAAGAGGGGGGATGGAAAGGGTGGTGAGAGAGACATGGGGCAGGCACTGGCTTTCAGAATGCAAACAGAAAAGAGGAGTAGTAAAGCACTGGCCCCACACTGGTCAGGGATGGGGGACAGGGCAGGGAGATGCTGTCTGCTTCCCTGTGGAGGGACTCCCCTGCTGAGTCATTTGTCACCGAGTCCTTGAGAGCTGTGGTCACTCTTGCTGCTCCTGGGCTGTCCTCTGAGAAAGCCCCTGACCCCTCAGACACCTCTTTCTGCTTTGCTAAGGCCCAGTGTCCATCCAGGGATGCCTTCCCTGACCCCCTGGCAGATCTAGCACAAGATCCAGGGCTGAGCGGGGCCCGACAGTGGGGGGGGGGTGTCTTTGAGGAGCTTCCTGTACCTTTCTGCACTTAGGGGCTGCTGGGACAGAACCAGGTCTCAGAGGTGCAGCCAGGGGCTCTGGGCAGGGCCACCCTCTTGGTTATAGGGAGAAGCCCCAGAAGGGGAGACAGGCTTTGGTGAGGAAACGTTACAAGGGCCCAGGAGAAAACAGGTTGTTGGAATCCATCTCTTTGTGGGGGTGACAGGGTGCAGGCTGGGAAGACATTGTCAAATGCCCCTGAGTCCAAGACTGTGAGACCACTGAACCCACCCCCAGGACATTTGTACATCCTCCTCAGGTTCCTGAGTCCATTCTGAAGGTCACTGGGCCAGAGGCAGCGAATATGGTGCTAAACCAGAACCAATTCCCAGGAGCCTCCAGTCTAGTGGAGAGAAACTTGTAAACAGATCCTGTAACACACTGCAAGAAGTGCTCATGCTAGATGGAACCACGAGGTATCATGGGGCCTTGGGCAAGTGACTCAAATCTCTCTTCTCAGTTTTCCCATCTGCAAAATGGGTGTCACACAATACTTACATTAGAGAGCTGTGTGAGGGTGAAGTGAGATGAGCTGCACAAAGTGCTTAAGTACAATACCCAACACACAGCAAGTGCTCTTACATGGTAGCAATAATTAAGTGGAACCTGAGTGTCTCCCTGGCCAGGCATGGGATGCCATCATGGGTTTTTTGGGTTTTCTTAGAGCTTTGAAATATAATACGCATATCATACAACTCACCTGTTCAAAGTGTACAATTCAGAGATTTTTAGTATGTTCACAGATAAATGCAACATAACCACAGTTTTAGGACATTTTTCTCACCTCCAAAAAAGCTCCATGCCTTTTTTATCACCCCATCTCTCCCATGAGCCCCCTCAAATCTAACAAACTACTTATCTTTCTGTGTCTATGAATTTGCCTCTTCTGGACATTTCATATCAGTGGAATCCTACAGCATGTGGTTCTTTGGGTGTGGCTGCAAGCTTCAGCTGGGCTGTGGCATATGTATCACACGGTTTGGAGCCAGAGAGAGGTGTGGTCAGATTTCCATTTTGGTAAACCTGGCTGGTACAGGGTAAGAGGAGGGGTGGAAGGGGTCCCTCTGAGCCTGGCAGTAGGGAGAAGGAACCTTTGCAGGAGCACAGGTGAGAGATGAAGAAGCCTGGACCAGGGCATAGTGAGAGGCAAAAAGGATTCCTGGAAACCTTCTAAGAGTTGTTAACATTTATTCAGTCGACCATTCACTTGACTGGCAACTTGCTTGTATGGAGACAACTCAGTAGTAGAGAATGATTGAGTCCCCCATGAATGAATATGCCCCCTTTACCAATGAGGTGTCATGCTAGGCATTTGGGAAGATGGAGGACATGGTCTATTTGACATGGTGGAAGGATGCAAGAGTATGGTGATGGAGGGAGGTAGGCAGGGACCTGCTCTTGGGATTTAAGTTTTATCCTAGTGGCTCTGGGGAGCCCCTGAAAAATTTTAAGCAGAGGCATGATGTGGTCTGTTCATATTTTAAAACTAACACCCAACTGCACTGGGAAATGAGCTTGAGCAGGCAGGACTGGGGGGAGGGAGACCCTATAGGACGCTCTTGAGTTAGTCCAGATGGGATGACGAAGGCATGGGCCGAGCAGTGGCTTAGGAAGGAGGGCACCGATGAGAGAATTGGAGAAGAGAAAGCAGTGGCAATTATTTCACACTCCTGGTTATCTCACACCAAGGGAAGGGGACAGGAAAGGGTTTTGAAAAGAAGATTCCAGGGGTGGAAGGCAAACTAGAAGAGAGGGAGAGACACCCAGGGAGGAGCAAGTTTGAGAGGAGGAGGAATGGTCCAATGCAGTGGAGAGGTCAGGCCCAATACAGATGTGAGTGTCCAGTGGCTGGACCACTTACAGACCCCTGGGGACCATGGTGATGGAGAGGGTGAGGCAAGAAGGAGAGGTGACTGAGGAGGTTCATGGAGGTTGCAGAAGTGGGATCCCAAAGTGGGACCTTGTGTCTGGGAGCCTGCAGGAAAGGCCATGAGGGCAGCAGCAGATAGAAATGCTCAAGTGAAAAGGAGCCGGCTCATGCTGTATGGGCTCCATGCCACCAGGGGCACACACAAGGACATTTGCTGAGAAAAAGGGCCTGGTGACAGGGGATGACAAGAGGGGTGACAAGGGACAGAGAGGTCAACGACCTAAGGGCCTTGCTGAGGCTGGACATCAGGATCCTGAGTGGTCAACAGCCTGCTCAGTGGTGCATTTTTTTTCTCCAGCTATTTGGGTATAGAGTCACACATGGGACATTGGATCCACCCGAGGCTGGGGATGGCAGGGTTGCCATGAAGGCAGACCAAGTGTCACAGAATGATGCTGGCGAGGATGGCAAATGTGGGACAGAAGGATCAGGCTGGGCTGGAGGGAATGAGGCTAGGAAGGTGGTGATGACTTTGGAGGAGAGGGCGGGGTAACAGGTAGAGGCTCAAAGAAGTTCAAGAGCAGGTGCTGTGAGAGAGAGGGCATGAGAGAGGTTCTAGGGGCTGATATTTCAAAGCAGGGCCATATGGGGTGGCAGCGAGGTGGAGTAGAGCTGTGGAAATGAATTTCCAAAGAGAACTGTGAGAAACCAGGAAGAAGGAGCCTGGGGGAGCCCTGTGTTGAGGGATATCACTTGCTAAATGTCGGGCACAGGTCCACATTTTTTACATACATTATCTCATTTAATCCAGGCTATAACCATATGAGGTCCAGGTATTGGTATTATTTTCCCTTTTACAGCCGAGAAAGCTGAAGCAGAGCTGTGGAGTAACCTGCTGGGATTGAGGAACCCAGGATCAGATGGCTGGAGCCAGAGCCCCTGTTCTACCCAGGACACTAGCCCACCTTGTTGGAATTGGGGGAGCCTGGCCAGGATGGGGTGTTATTGGGTGTGCCCACCATTGTCTCCCTTCTTTTGGGAGCCAGCTAGTTCACAGGACCCTCCCAGTCCCCAGGAAGGAAGGGGTCAGTTATTCATGGAGCCATGAGACGTGGCCCCACCCAAGCTGGGGTGAAGGAGGGACAGAGACTACGGATAGTAAGTCTCCTGTGCTGGTATCTCTAGGTCCTGCGGACAGACTCCAGAACTCCTTACCTGAGTCCCGCTCTAGTTACCAAGTAAAGCCCTTGACCCCAGCGGGGAAGGAGACCCACAGCCCTGATGGCCTTTCCAGAGCTTAGAGTCTGCAGAGCATGTCCTACTATGAGGCCGACAGTCTGGCTAATTGTTCTCATTTACCACATGAGGTGACAGACACTTGAGCAGTGCCTTGCCCATGGTCACACAACTGGTAAGAGGCATGTCTGCTGGATGCTGAATCTTTCTCCATGCCCCTGCCCTGCATCTACCTCTGGGGACAAAGATGGTGTATCCCTCCCAGGAAAGCCAGACCTTTGGGGCATTTGTGCAGGGAGGAAAGAATCCACTTCCTTCCCTCTTTCTCTCCACGCTCCCCCTCAACATGTCATCCCTCTCCACCCCTACTGACTCTATCAGTGGGAGACTAGTGGACCAGCAGTGTCCTTTCCACTGTGGCTGTAACAACGGGATCCCAGGTATTCAGACCTAACCCTGCAGCCTCCCGTGAGCCTCCTGAGGTGGCCAGGACTGGCTTCATCTGTTTTTCTCCTGGGTCAGGCTGACAGATGGCCATGTTCCTCCTCAGGGCCAGCAACAGGGGGACCTGAACCCCAGGCAGTTGGG